AAATCAAATCTTGTTCTCTCATAGCTCTCTATTATGATTTCCCCCTACTTTATAGCTCTCTTGCCCAGAGAAGGCAAAATACTGTCTACATTTCTAATAGATTGGGACCAATGGAAAAGGCACTGATCTTGAATGAGCCTTTGATCAAAGTTGAGAAAATTTTAATATAATGACTTTTTACTTTCTGGCACAGTGGAATTGGTGGATTCAAGAAATCTGTGGTAAGGAAAAGTCAATACTAAATATATGAATATACTAAGGCTTGTAAGCTAAATGTCAGTTGTTTGACATAAGAGTGTCCCAAAGCACATAGACAGCCAGAACACATTACAGATACACAAGACCACATCTTACCCCTTGAAAAAAGCCGTTGGTCCTTCATTAGTGAACATTTTCATTGCACAGTTGGGCACACTTCTATACTGTCCTGGTGGAGAATTAATAAATCTGGTTTTTACTACATCCACCGGGGAGGACATAGCTGTTGCGCAAAATCCAGCAATAAGAGCCGACACCAAGTGGCAGGGGACGTCATCTAAAATGGATCGGTGAAACAGGTCAACATCAGACTTTTGGGGGCTTGCAATTTAGTTATCTGTCATATCTTTATAAACCTGTTGATAACAGTAGCTCAGTGAAGATGTCTTATAAATAAATAAAATAAAACAAGAAAGGCATTGCACTAGAAAAAGAAAGTAAAGAGTAAATGGCTTAATAGATTGTTAACACTTTAGGAAAAAAACCTGTTAGTTTCCTCTGTGCCTTTAAGGCCTGCAATAATGCCTAATATATGAGCATCTAATACTTTTTTACCGAAATAAAGTGCAAGGGAAATTTTAATGTCTCTAGAAATTGTTAGTATATTATTTTTAAGAACCTATCTTATGGAATTACTTTTTGGATGAGACCACTGATAAGCTCCTTGTATAACTAGATCTTTTGGATATAGTGCAGGATGGACTTACCTCCTGAATTCTGCTGTATAAAGAAAAAGATTCTAACAAAAGTCCCATATATTAGTGTTAAATGAGAACAATGCTGACCTAAGATGACATTGCCTGTTATTTTTGTTGCAAAATATTTCTGTTGTGGCAAAACTTCTTAAACTTAATATTTTGGTCTTTTCCTGCTTCTCACAAAGTTATATATAGTTCAAAATGACTTATTTTTAAAAAGAGAAAACTATTAAGAGTTAAGGGATTCAGTATAAGGTGGCTGCAGAAGCTCCAAGAGGAAATTCTAAAGGTGCAGACGTGTTTGTTATATGAAATGGGAAGTTACCTGCTAATATGTTGTTTTTCACAAAGGCCTCCTTCATTAGATCATATGTTACCAGCTCTGTACAATTGATGATGACACTTCTCATCAGATTGGGGGTAGTCCCTGGGGAAAAAAAAAAGAAAATGTTTACTAACTCTACTTTATAATAAGTTGATAATTGTATGTATGTGCTTTGGTGGTTCTAAAACCCACTTTGAAGTTAGTTACCTTTCCAAAGACCCGTCAAGCCTTCCGTTGTTGCTACTATTCTGTACGCGTTATAAGTCCCCGTGTAGCGAGGTTTGATACCGTGGAGATGGCTCTGCGCTTGAAGTCTGACTTTCACAACCTCTGTGGGTTGTCCGATGAATACTGCCACTCCTCCAGTCATTAGACCAGCTAAGATCTTGCTTCCTAAACTAGGTGTTGCTATCCAGAGAAAAAAAAAATTATTAAGAAAAAACAATTAAAGACCTAGAATGCATGCATATCTTTTTAATTTTCAGTGGTTCATAGTTTTTTGTTTTTTTTTTCCTGATATGGAGTCTTGCTCTGTTATCTAGGCTAGAGTGCAGGGGTGCAATCTTGGCTCACTGCAAACTCCACCTCCTGGGTTCAAGCAATTCTCCTGCCTCAGCCTCCCAAGTAGCTGGGATTATAGGCATATGCCACCACACCCTGCTAATTTGTGTATTTTTAGTAGAGACAGGGTTTCACTGTATTGGACAGGCTGGTCTTGAACTCCTGGGACCTCAGGTGATCTGCCTGCCTCAGCCTCCCAAAGTGCTAGGATTACAGGTATGAGCCACCACACCTGGCCCATATTTTTGTATTCTGACAGCTTTTCTACTCCTCTAATGCATGTTCATGTGTTGATCATGTACTAAATGTGTACCAACTCAGAGTAAGGCTAGAAAACGTCAGGTGTCTGAAATGTTTTAAAAATGAAGACTTTCAAGGAACAAGAAAACACAATGCTTATTTTCACAGTGGTCTGATTTTTTCCTGTGTTCAGCTTGGTTCTTTCTTATATTTAGCTCTCTTTTCAGTATTATCCGACTGTGAGGAGGCACCTGGCACCAATGAGGCTTGATCTTTCTCCCATGAAGGATAATGTTAATTATGGGACTTGGTGGCCTTAGAAGAAGCCCAGTGGACAAGCTGCACCAATATGGGCCATCAACTAGTGTTAGGCTACAACATGTGACGGGAACAAAAATAAGAAGACAGGTGAGAAGAAAGTGATTTTTACCTTAAAATTTTGAAAAAAAAATAGCTTATGTTGCTCAAGACAGATATCATTAAATACAAATAGTCTTGAAGCCCAATATTCATTTCTATCATTAAGTAAATATAAAATTATGGTTCAGCAACATTTACTCAGCAAAGGCTTTCTCAGTCATTCTAATTCAGTTTCCTAATCTGTCAAACAGGGATAATAATATCTACCTCCTCGAGTTGTGTGAATTAAATAATACTGAAAAAGAGCTTACACTGTCTAGCACAAAGAAAATCCACAAAACTGGCAGCAATTTTTAAATCACTATTGTGATTGTACTCTTTTCATCATGCTTTAGCAGGAGCTGGGCATATGATTGACAGCTGTCTTTTAATTGGCAATATCGTATGACTACAAATGCCTTCACTTTTAGCTCACATTTGTAATGCATTGCGCTACAATGTAGTGTATCTTGATGTACTCATCCTATCCTCCAATCTCCAACTTTCAAATCCCTCTCTTCACTTCCCAGTCAAGCTTCCTGGAAAAGAGGCTATGTATTTTTTTTTCAAGAACTAAAAGAAATTTATTTACAAAATATATTGTTTGTCTTTACTTCTCAGACCCATTTCTTCCTCAGTCCCCTACAATATAGCTTATACCCCACTACTCTGCTGAAGATGTTTTTACTAGAAAATCAGTGAGCTTCTATTTGTTATGTACAATGATCACTTTTCAATCCTTTCCACAATCTCTGCTGTCTGACCCTATTGATAGTCCCTGCTGTGACTTCCTGGAATCTAGCTCAGACTTTTCTCCTAAACTCATGTGCCTACTGGACATTACCTGTTGACATGGCCTAAACTAAATTTCTTGTCTTCCCCCTAAGACGGCTTCTATACATCTTCCCCCAATAAAGGGTATCTTTAACCAGAAACTTGGAAGTCATCTTGTATTTCTACCTGTCCCTTATGCCTTACTTCTATTTGTTCACCAATTCAATTCAATTATACTTTCCAGTCTTTCTGATTGACATCTCTTTTTCCCTATTGCCAGTGCTTTAGGGCATACCCTGATCATTTCTTGCTTTCTAACTTACCTCTTTCTTACTCCTTTTACATATATACTCTATCTGCTGCCAAAGTGATCTTTTGAAAATGTAAATTGTTTATGCCACTCCCCTGCTTAACATTTTTACAGTGACTTCCCATCAGGGTAAGGATAAAATCCAAACTCCTTAGCATCGCCTGCAAGGCCTTCTGTGATCTGGCTCCTTCCTGTCTCTGTGGCTTCACCCCTCCTTCCTCACCAACATGTCCTCCCTGTGCTATGTTCACTCTACTTCTCACTGAGTCTTTGTACATGACCTTCACTCTACTTGGAAGGTCTTTCTCACCCCTTTACCTGGATCACTCCTGCTGGCCCTTTCAGAATTGATCCGGACATTAACTCTTCAGGAAAATCTCACAGGACCATGCCTCCATGGCTAGGTTAAATAGTTCTGTTTAATATGGCCACCATCTTGTAATTACAGTTAGTCATGTGCTGCATATGTGATGGTGGTCCCATAAGACTAGAACAGAGCTGGAAAATTCCTATCATCTAGTGACATCCCAGGCACCGTAAGGTTGTCATGTAATGCATTACCTTTTCTATTTTTAGGTACACAAACACTTAACTGTTATACAACAATTGCCTATAGTATTCAATACCAACAGTCTGCACAGGTTTGTAGTCTAGGAGCAATAGATTATACCATATACATTAGGTGTGGCTATGCCATCTAAGTTTGTGTAAGTGCTCTCTGTGATGTTCGTACAACAACCAATTTGCCTCCTACCTCATTTCTGAGAATGTATCCCCATCATTAAGCGAAGTAGGACTGTATTGTAATATAGCATGTGTCATGGTGTTGCTGGAAGTCAGGGACCCCAAACGGAGGGACCGGCTGGAACCACAGCAGAGGAACATAAATTGTGAAGATTTCATGGACATTTATCGGTTCCCAAATAATACTCTTATAATTTCTTATGCCTGTCTTACTTTAATCTCTTAATCCTGTTATCTTCATAAGCTGAGGATGTATGTCACCTCAGGACCCTGTGATGATTGCGTTAACCATACAATCTGATTGTGAGACATGTATGTTTGAATAATATGAAATCTGATTGTAAAACGTGTGTTTGAACAATGTGAAATCAGTGCACCTTGAAAAAGAACACAATAACAGCAATTTTAGGGAACAAAGCAAGACAACCATAAGGTCTGACTGCAAAAAGAGCCATATTTTTCTTCTTGCAGAGAGCCTATAAATGGACCTGCAAGTAGGAGAGATAACACTAAATTCTGTTCATAGCAAGGAATATAATATTAAGACCCTAGGAAAAGAATTGCATTACTTGGGGGAGGTCTATAAACGGCCACTCTGGGAGTGTCTGTCCTGTGCAGTTGAGATAAGGACTGAAATATGCCCTAGTCTCCTGCAGTACCCTCAGGCTCACTAGGGTGGGGAAAAACCCTACCCTGCACCCTGGTGAATTTGAGGTCAGACCGGTTCTCTGCTCTCGAACCCTGTTTTCTGTTGCTTAAGATGTTTATCAAGACAATACATGCACAGCTGAACATAGACCCTCATCAGTAATTCTAATTTTGCCCTTTGCCTTGTGATCTTTGCTTTGCCCTTTGCCTTGTGCCCTTTATTGGCCTCAGAGGCATGTGATCTTTGTGACCTACTCCCTGTTTGTACACCCCCTCCCCTTTTGAAGTCCTGAATAAAAACCTCTGGTTTTACGGCTCAGGTGGGCATCACAGACCTACTGATACATATCACCCCTGGTGGCCCAGCTGTAAAATTCCTCTCTTTCTACTCTTTCTCTTTATTTCTCAGACTGGCCAACACTTAGGGAAAATAGAAAGAACCTACGTTGAAATACTGGGGGTGGGTTCCCCCAATATCATGGAATATGGTCATCTATTCACTTCTCCTCACACACCCCTTACTGTCAACTGTAAACTCTGTCCAGAGACACATCTGCCATCTAAATATCTAACATAGTTACTGGCACATGGCAGTTCAATAAAGCCTACTAAATAAACTGAATCTGTATAACATAGAACACTGCCAACATATATCCTATTAATTTGGTGCCCAAAGTCTGCAACAGTTAATAGAACAGTCAATCTGTAAAGAAAACCACCTGAACGAGCACTTGACCTCCTTTGTGTTTCCTCTCTTGTACATCTATACATATCAAAATGCAGTTTTGATCTAGTAACATACAGACTTTATCTTCACTTTGAAAGTACTTGTGTGGATAAGTATAATTTACATATTTGTGTAGACAATATTTATAAATTATCCCATAAAGCTACAGTATTGAAGGTTACTCACAGCAGAATTGATGAAATCTACAAGATGGATTTCACTTAATATATTCATTTTGTCATCAGCACATCTTCTCTCTGGCTTGTCTGCTCCACATGAAAGTGCCTCTGATGTTGATTAGCTGTGTGATTTTGTGCATCTGACTTAACTGCCCTGATACTCGGCTAGCAGTTTATACTCACAGCATTGTTGTGTGTTTGAATGATGGACAGAATCATATGCGAAGTGCAGAAGGCAGTAGAAAACAGGGTTAAGAGCCTGGAGTCCGAGGCCAGACTGCCTGGGTTTGAACCCTGGCTCTGCCCCCTCCCAGCTGTGTGACCTTGGGCAAGTGATGAATTGCTCTGTGTTCAGTTTTCCCAACTGCCAAGGGATAATGATACTACTAGTAGCCTTCCAGTTGTAATGTATCTGAAGCACCTAGAACAGTGTCTCATTCATAGTAAGCCCTCAAATAAATACTACTTAAAGTGACAGGAATTCTTAGAGTGCACTTGCACTCAGGAAATATGTTTCTTTTTCCTTTTCCCGTAAACAAACGCCCTAACGCATTCGTCCATTTTTTCTGGTCTGGTCTTCCCTGGACCTCATGAGGAACCTCTTAAAAGGAAATATGTCTTTTCCTGTCCTTTCAACTCTACTCACCAAGTCTGGCTTTCTTTGCTTCAAACAGAAGGTTTTGAACTTTGTTGCATACCCAAATGATGAGGGAAGCTTGTGGAAACACAGATACTCTGGTCTCTAGCCTGAGGATTCAGACTCAGAGGACCATGGTAGTCCCCATCTGGATTTCTGACAAGCTCCATAGATGTTTCTGATATATTTCCCTGTTTGGAGAACTTTAAGTTAAACATTATTCTGTAGCTCATTCATATTCTCCAGATGGAGATCCAAATTAGGCACACAACTTTCATGACTGGGTGACTTTTTAAAAGCATAAATCTGCATCTAAAATGTCAATTTTGCATACTTTTTTCTTTCTATGAACAATTTGGGGAAGGGAGAGAGTTCAAATATGAATGTTTTCTCGCCAATTTGTTATGAAAACCACTCCTCGATGTGTTACATTTTTTGGAACAGAGCAGAGCCCAAGGTTTTTCTGCCCCTCCCAGGAACGTTCTCGGCTTACTTTCTTTGCCTGCGGCGAGGAACTCCTGGACCGTGTCATAGAGGCCGATCCTGAGAGAGGTGGAGCTGATCTGTCTCTGAAGCCCCGCAGGCAGCCCGCTGTAGAGTTTCATCCGCCCTTCTGTTTTGACCAGAGTGGTGATTGTTCCCAGGACACCTTTATACCTAATAGCACTGGACATCGGGCGTTCGCCTTGGATCTGGAAATAAGAAAGGTGCAGATCAGAAGGGAGAGAACATTGAGTTCACTCTTAAGCCAAGATTTTCCCCACCGTGTTCCTATTTTCCGTTTCTTTTCTCAGCAACATCCCCCTTCCATCCACCTCCCTCTACGCCGTGTGTGTGTGTGTGTGTGTGTGTGTGTGTGTGTGTTCGCGAGTGCGCAGTTTGGGGGAGGCTGGCTACAATGCACATTTTGAACATTCTCCTCCCCGTGAACTCTCCAGAACCCCTAGGGCAGTAGGATAGGACAGAATCAAAGAAAGGAAAAAGCACCTAACTAGTAAACTCAAGAGATGTCAATATTCTCAGTTTTCAGAATACTAAGTGCACCCTAAATTTTAGGAGAATTTGGTAGTAGTCATGGTCAACCCATCCTCTGTAGCCCTCGTGGTTCTTCAGCTAATCCTAGAAAAAGTTCCAGTTTCCCATCCTAAAGCACCAGCCCTGGGACAAGGCCAGACTGCTTTGGAAGGGCACTTACCCTACCTAGAAGCAGTGGTTAACCCAAAGCAGAGAATAAATAGAATGCACTCAACAGCGCCCCCTCTGGCCTGAGAGCCCTCGTCATACCCCTCTGGCTGGCTACCTGGAGCCGGACTTTGGCCGTGTCCAGCGGGAAGGTGATCACGTCCGCTAAGCACGCCGCTATTCCAGCTGAGAAGAGCTGGATCCCCAGGGTCGGGTGCACGTCCGAGGCTGTCAGGCCCCCCATCTTCACTCAGAGACTGGAGATGCAGAGGAAAAGGGTTCCAGCCCCGAAGGTGTGGGAAGTTTCTTTCCCTTGCTCTTCACTCCTGTCTCCCGGGCAGCAAAACCCGCTTTCTGTTTTTTGAACCCCCCACCGGGCAACTGAGGTGCAGAGGCGGCGGCTACAGACGAAGCGCGACGTTGGGGGCCGAGTCCCCGCGTCCCCTCCTCCCCACCCTAGCGCCAGCAGGACCCTCTGCGCCCTGGTCTTCCGCTGGGACTTATATAGCTGGGCCGCTCCGGGGCTGGGCCGCGCGAGGTCTCAGAAGACCCGGGCGTGGGACCTGGAGGGGGCGTGTCCGGGAGCACTGGCTCCCTCCCATTCCCATCCTCGCCCGGCGCCTCGGGAGCCCCGCTTCTCTCCCCAAAAGCCCTAGGCCGGTCCCTGGTTGTCTGCGCCCGGCACTCCGCGCGTCG